GAACATCTGCCTGCTGTTACCGAACAATGACCCCAACTTCTTCATTTTTTTTTCTCATTTTCGTCTCCTCCAATTTCTCAATTTCTTGTTAAAAGGCAATAGTTTAGTTCTTTAGAGTGCAGTTCTATGGCGAGTTTATGAACACTAATATCTTACCTGGTATAGATAGCTCTTTGAATAATTCCGTTATTCAGTTCTCCATTGCTTTTAAATTTGCATCGTCTATTTCAAATGTTTGGAGGAAAACACTTTTTTTTTCTCTCTCTGTTATATTTGCTTACCTAACCTAGGAGAGATTTACCTTTTTGGAATTTATACAGTTTCAGTTTGAGACATAGCCTATAAAACATTTTTTACTGTTCAAACTGGATGAAAATAAAAGTAGTACAATGCAACTTTTTTTGTGTGAAGATACTACTTGACAAATCCTGCCTTGCTGTACTTGAGCTTCGACCTTAAACATTTCCCACTAGCAAGAATAATGTGTTTTTCTCTTCTGGGAGAGTTATTATCCGTTTAAATGAAACAACAAAAACCTGACATTTGGTGTTTTTCCTGTTGTACCAAATCTGTATCGAACCTGCACTAAACTGTGATCCACACACCAAGATTGTGACAGGTGTACCCCTAGTAAATAACTATGTCATTTTAAGAAACTGAATAAAGATTTATAAAGTAGCATAATGGCTAATCAGTCCGATCAGAATGAAACTCTTTCTCCAAACTGAGGTTATTCAAAAAGCGATCTACAATATTACTTGGTCATAACTTTTCCATTAAACCCGACTCTCACTTTGATAATATTGCTGTTTTATGAATATTGACTCTCTGGTCACAGAGCTTTAGTATTCTTTATGAAGAAATTTATAAAACTAGAAGGTTTTTTGTTTCATTAGCTGAGTCAGCTTTGACAATCATGTTAACATTTTTCTTTTTCTTCCATTTTTATGTAACATGATCTTCCTACAAATTTAAAATGTCTTTTTAGATTAGACTTCTGTACTAAAAAAGCATTTGTGTTATCATAGGCAACCTAGTGTTTGTGTTGCTCATCCAGTCCTCCCTGCAGCAGTCATTAAGTCACTAAGAACTTCACTCCTACATAATGTTATCCCAGTTTTTTTTAAGAAACAAATAGACACAACATGTACCACAAAGATTCTTTTGTTGGTTATTTGAACAGAGAAAGCAGGGTAAAGTAACAGTGAAGTGGGTGCTTTGAGTTTAATTTGGTGATTTATGTGTTAGGGTTGAGCAGATAAGGTTGTGCAATTTGGGATTGGGAAACTGATTATTTCTGCAACTATGAGGGAGATGTTCGGGAATTTGTTGCGGGAGGTCCTGAGCATACATAACAGATGAGACTTTAATGATGGACTCTTGTTAGAAATGCTGCAGCTCCAGAAGGTAACTTTGGTGTAATAATAAATAATGTGTGTGCTGGTGCCTCAACTGCAAATACAGATTTTTTTTTTTTTTTAATGGATTCACATGGAACTTGTAGAACCACTTTTTAAAAACTAAATTTTGAAAGTGCACAGATGTGTTTAATGTAGCATTGCCTTGACGTTAAATACTTCTTGAAAAAAAATACTTTTGATAGATAATTTTTTGCTCAAGCTAGAGTTTTAATTAGATTGCCACTGTATAGTCAACATCATCCGTTTGTCCGTTCATCCCATCTACCCTGAAGGAGTCTGATGTACTTGCTGTCAATGCAGCCTAAACTCTTGCACCTCTTGGTCCGTAACAACGGACCCCCAATTCCATACTCATGGGATTTGGGGTCAAAACCTACATATGGTGTGTGTGTGTAAATGATGCAGATTCATCATGAGTTTCATTTCAAAATCAGCTTTAAATGAGCATTTTCTTCTGCTGGCAGTATGAGCCTTTGGTGTGCGTTACTTCTTAAGACTTAGCAATCATCTTAGTAGATAAGATGCAAGGCTGACAATGAAGAACATTTAAGTAAAATCCTCACTAAGAGCAATATTAATTCATATCTAAACATTCTCTGAAACATTGAATTTAAACTTACCTGTTTCTCTTTTACTTTCCAGTCTATTTATCAAAGTCAGAGTTTCTTTATTTGTCATGTGGTGCATGTGGTGGAACTAAAATGTGTACACAAGGACACAATTACATCCAACAAAAGTATAAAATGTACAAGAAAAACAGTAATAAGATCTAAGTTGTGAACTAAGAAAAATGTTAACTGAAAATACACTAAGCACTAGTAGTACAAAAACAATACGCCGAACAGCAGCACAAACAGGAGTCTGTGTGAGCAGATGAGCACGAATGAACACAGCAACATGAAACAGATCAGCAGCAACATGAAACAGATCAGCAGCAACATGATATGATTTTTTCACAGTGACTATTCTGGTTAGAGATTCATGAGTCTAACAGCCTCAGTCTAGTGGTTCTACACTTAATGCTCCTCGACCTCCTTCCTGAGGGAAGTGGGGCAAAAATTGTGTGTGCTGGGTGAGTGGGGTCCTTCATGATGCAGGTGGCTCTCTTCCTGCATCTGGAGGTGTAGATGTCTGTGATGGTGGGGAGACTGACTCCAACATCTTCTGTGCAGCCTTCACCACTCTCTGCAAAGCTTTTTTTTCTGCAGCTGTGCAGCCTCCATGCCATCTATTTATCTATTTTGTAGTGACAGCAAAATATTATAGAATAATAATAATAACAATACACCATAATAACCATATTAAATAATAATATAGGTGTTCTTACTTGGTTGTGCTACTATCTAAACATCAAACCAGATTACTCTTTCTGTTCTCAGCTGCCTCTGTTTTCAAGTCGGGCGGTGCAGCTGGGATCTCTCTATGTCCGAGGACTGAGCCACCTGGTGGGTGCTAACAATGCCAGCGGCTGTCCGCTGCCCAGTGCTGCTCTCATGCCTTGGCACAACTTCGACGGACAGCTCTTCCACTCAAAGTACCTGCTGGCACACAGTGGTGTGGAGAAAACAGAGCTGCTGGACAGCGATGTGAGTGGAGAAAAGAGCTAAACATGTTACCTGTGAGGACAGAAAAAAAGTGACTTCCATTGTGTATACTTTTGTGTTCTCGGTCTGACTTTCTCCCATTTATGAACAACAAACTTTTAAACCTCTGGAATTCTGCAGGTTTGTGTTTAATTATGTATACTGTGGATGAGTCTAGTCTAAATGTGTCTGTGTTTATTTCCAGCTGTCTTGCCTTTCTCAGTTTCTCCAGCTGAAGGAGAAACTTCTGGAAATGTGCAGGAAGAGAGGCCGAATTCTGCAATCTAAACCCAGAGCACCGCAGAAAAGTGTTAAACCTGCCCCTGGAGTTCGAAACAAATCTGCCTACTCAGGTGAGACGCCTACCTGACCAATCACTGCCTGCTGATATACATACTGTACCTGCTTCACCACCATTTGCTTTTATATCACTCAATAATCAAAGTTAGCCAATAAAGTCTTTAGAGTAATAAAAAAGCTTTTATTAAAAACATTTTGTTTTAACGTATTTATACATACAAAACAATTATGTTAAAAATGTAATAGTAATACTATTGATTAAGACGATATTTACTTTATAGTTTTGCGTTTCAGAAACCAATTAGCAACATTTTGTGAAAACGCTGCTTCCCTGTCTGCTCTGCAGTGATGTGCAGTTTGTCACACGTGCTGCAGAAAACACTGAATAAACTATTGGAAAAAAATTGCTGATACTATAAATTACACACACACATATGCATACACACACACAAAAATAATAAAAAATAATATATATACATTTTTTGTGTGTTATAATCTAAGAAAGTATTACCGGTGTTTGAATTTACTTGTTCTTATTAGCTGATGATATTGCCCATGGTGCCGGTATATATATTTGTCTAGTTGTTTTTAAAGATAATTAAATAATATAAAATTATTTTAAAAATCTAAACAAACAATAAGGATTATAATGTGTGTTAAGAGTACTAAAAATGTGTGGTTAAATCTTATACACCCTCAAATTCATTAATAATCATTAAAAAAATGATTGAAGAGATTTTTAGATCTGCTATAACACATTTCAGTTTTGTTGACATTTGACATTTTTAAATATTTTCTGTACTTTTTCTGTGATATTTTACTAAAGTTAAATTCATGTGTTTTTTCAATCGAAAAATACTTTATCCTAAAACCTTCCTTGAGAACCAGAGAGAGAAAGACAAAATAAAAAGGTTTTGACTTGAATTAAGAAATTGTTTGTTTTTCTGTTTTTTGGATGTTATGGGAGTGTGGTACTGGTAGTTTAGATGCATGACAAAAAAAACCACCATGTCCTTTTGCAATGATCCTTTGTTGTCAAGTCCCACTTTTCCATTCCTGGGTTTCCTGTTTGTATCTTCTCAGTCAACTTTCCAATAAAAAAAGTAAAATAAATAAATAAATAAAAAAGCCCATATGGAGCATAAGAAATGTCATAATGCATCTAATCTTGTTATTACTTCAGTTGTTTCTTTTATGTCATGAGCTTTAAGCTCTTCCTTATACAAAGATCTGAAGAGGCCTTCAGTGGTGGAAACACTCCTTGGAATGAGTCATGTTGTAATCTGACAGATGATCTATGGTTGTAGTTCTTTGGGCTCCTCGCAGAACCACATTACCCAGAGGGCCATGCTTTAATGAGGCCCATGTGTATTTGTTGCTGTAATGCATTCCACTGTTTGTGTGTTCGTGCGCGCTCACATGCACACGTTGGTGGAGACTTGCTTTGTCAGTGCAGCAGTAATAGTAGGTTTCTGTTTATAGGCTGGGAGAGCTCTATTTTAGGACACACAACAAGACGAAACTGATTACAGACTCCTCTGTTCCTCCCCCCTTTCTGCTCCCCTTCCTCTCTTGTTACTTTTATTTTTATCTTTTTTATTTCCTTTATTCTCTTTCCTTTCTAATGTTGTTATTAGAGTTGTACTAAACACCCCAATAACATTCGTCTATGAAAGTGAATGTTTTTATTTTGCACACCTTGAGGTTGTGCGATCCGTTTTTGTTCGTCTTCCCTGTATGTGCTTACTTCTACTCGTTTTACTCAGCTTGGAAACAACAGTTTGTAAAAAGTGAATCTGAAGCTGTAAAACCTTTGAACCTTTTGTGGTCGTTTCTTTGCGTGCCATGTTGGCACAGAGTCTCAGATTTTCACCAAACTGTCTGCTTTCTGCCCATGTCAACCCTTCTGGGTCTCCCGAGGATGCCTCTGGTTTTACACATGAATGATATACACTCCTTATACCTCAGTGTTTCATTTCTGTTGGATGCAGACACAGATCATTACTACAGAACTGTGGGGAAATCGTTTGTGTGTGTGCGTGAGTAGTGGTGGCGCTATGTGGTATCGCTGAGAGCCCGGTTGGGTTTTTGTTTGGAATCAGGCCTGATGTTTAGTCTCCTCAGCGAATATCTCCTCGGCCTCTCTGCCCTTGCAATTACACTCCAACAGTGAATCCAGAATAGCTTCTCTCCCACATCTCTTCCTTTTATTTCTGTGCAAAATGTAAAGGAAAACCTCCTTTAGGCTTAAACTGATCCACACTTGTTGAGGAATTCATTTTTTGAGAATAGAGCAGTGTTTTCCCTCTGTTCTGTCTTCTATTGTTAATGTTCATATCTGTTAATGTTCATATCTCCACATCCAGCTGTCACAAAAATATCTAGTTTTTTTTATATATTGCTTTAAAAAAAGACTGAGACTATTACAAAACTGTCTGCTTGTGGTTTGACTGACGTTTCATTCACTAAAACTTGGCATCTTTATGGGTAATTTAACCACTTAAGCTGTATATAGTGCTCTGATTTTGTTTAGCATGTCCCATTTGGTGCAGTCTAAAGTTGGACTTAGATGTTTTATTTATTGTACTTTCAAATTGGCTTAAAGTCTCACACATCTGCTTTGTTTGCTGTTGTGAAAAACATTTTCCAAATGTTGCTGCATGCTGCGATAAACTTAAAAGGAAGTCACTTGGAGATGGTTTCCCTGCCAGTTAATCATTCTGATAACTCATGCAACAGTAAATGCTTTTAATTAACATTACAAAATAATCTCCTTGTGTGAGTTTGTTACTCTGTAACATTAAAACATTTCTGTCTGTGTTTTCTGTAATGCATCTTTTCGTCTGCTGTGTTGTGGGGGAGTTTAGAAATGTTTGATTTGAACTTTGTGGTCTCCTAAGAAAAAGAAGAACTGATACTTGTCGCAATGAGTGGAGCCTTTCAGATTTAGCAAGACTGCTAAAATATAAAAGTTAGCCAAGCTATTAATTGAATTAGGCTTCATTCACAGAGCAACTTCTAATGCGACTTAAAAGTTGATTGTGAAACTGCAACTCTTTTTCTTTTCTTTTAAGGGTGGAAATTAAACACTGCCTGCTCAGGAAGCAACACTTGGATCCTAAAACTTAATACGATAAAGGCAAATCAGTGTAAATGTAACGTTGCATTGGAGTTGGAAATATAAAGTTTGAGATTTCACCAGAATTGTGCAGATTGGGTCAATACAATTTGATTAATTTTGGTTGTAAAGAAAAAGAAACTTGCTTTACTGCGTTTCCATGAGAGTCCAGTTTGCCTTAAGTTCATGAGTCAGTCGTTCTTTAGCTCACTGAGAATGTAAAGGGGTGACAATTTAGAAAGAGCTTCAAGTCAATGAGTCAGAGTTAATTCTAAAAAAAAATTTGCAGAGATGAAAATTTTCTTAGAAATGTTTAACTGATGATAATGAAATATGCCTAAAATATCCTAAAAACATTCAGCAGGATTTTAGTCTGTTTTTTTATGCCATTTAATTGATATAGTTTTCTAACTTTTAAGTTTCTTCAGTATTTTTTAGTTTATCCACCAGAACAGAAAAGTGGTATTTCAGATTATTTTTTTAAATTAATTTACAGGAAGCATTTTTTTTTCTCAACGGATCCCTTACTTTAAAGTGTTAAATGTTTAGTTTCTAATTTTTTTTTTTGCTTCATGTATTTTCTTTCAACCAACCTTAACTTTGTTTTCTCTTGCTCAGGTTTTTCTCAAAATGTTGGTGGGGACTGGAGAGGAAGAGGAGCGAAAGCAGGACATGGATGGAGGGAAAGAGGGGAGGAAAGAAGACCATGGGGTAGAGGAGGACACAGAGGAGGAGGTCACAGAGGAGGAGGACAACCTTTTCATCGTTTTCATCCTTCCTCTTATGAAGAACGACCCGTGGACATGAGCCAACCTCCGAAACATTTCAGCGGCCGATCATATCCCGAAAGAGGAAGATACCAACGAGCTCCAACGTAAAATCAGGATGGCACAGAACCAGTTTCCTTTTTTCCTTGTTTGATTTGGTCATCTTTTCTTCTTCTCTCTTCTCAGGTGGCCACATCCTCCTGCTCCTTGAATATAAGTAAACCTTTAAGAGAGGAACTAAGGATGAAAGTGGAGGACTTGGAGAAAAGAGGATGGAAAAGGCATGTTGAAAAGCCAGATGGAATCACATCTCTCTGGACAAACTGACTGGTGAACAACCTGTTGGCATTGTTTATGTAAAGAATGGTGGAGGAAGAAAAACAAGGTCTAACAGAGGCACAGTGTCCTGGAGTTTCAGAGTTAAATCTGAAAAAATAAAATAAATCCTGCAAAGATAGCACTGAAATGAGCACACAGACGTCCCTTTATCTCACGTCAATTTTCATGACACTCTGGGAAAAAAATAAAATAAAGAAGTCAAACAAACTCGCAATGCACCACTTCAGATTTGAACTGAGAAGTAGATTAATGGATAATCCTGCAACCTTTTATCTTTGACAGTAACCAAGAAGAAAAATCCCTAAACCAGTCTGTATCCAGTAGCATAATCCTTTTAAATGAGTTGTTTTAACCAGAAGAGGAATGCTGGTATCTAAACAGTATCTCCCTAAACAGGTCTCTCTTGAAAATGAGTTCTCGTGGCTCAATGAGACTAACCTGGATAAATAAAGGCTAAATGAAAAAAAAAAAAAAATCTCATGACCAGATTATTTTACATAATCAGACAAATTTTGTGTTAGAAACAAAGTAAGGCCACCACAGCTGATGGTTTTTCAAACATGTGGTGGTAAATGTTTCAAATGGATGATAAAGAAAATGTTTTTAACTACCGGTACTACTGCGTATGTTTTTGTTCTTATTTTGTTTTTATTATTTTAAAAAAAGATCTGTGACTAAGACTTTAGTCAACATTTCACCCCCAAATCACATCTGAAATATATCTGCACTGTTGGCTTCTTTCACAAACAGTGAGAATACCATGTGTCCCGTTCTGTGTGTGGGTTTATGGCTTAATTAGAAATGTAGAGCGTGAACAGCTCAGCAACAGGAATGTCTTAAAAACCAACACCGAAGAAAAGGATGCAGAGAAAGTTCTCCTTCAGTACTTTGTGTGAGCACGTTTGTGTGTTTGAACATGTGGCTGTCAGCATATTAGAAAAGAAATGTGAGGGTGATTTACTCAACAAGTGGAAACAAATGGAGGCATATCTGATTGTTGATGCTGTACAGTGATGGTGGCATTAACAGAGCTACACCACTGAAGGCTTTGAAACTGTACAAATGAAGAGGAAGTGTTTTTATTTTGAGTTAGAAAATAATGTGATGTGATTCACAAAAGGTCTAAATATAAAACGCCCTGTAACAAGCAGGGTTTCTGATGACTTTTTATATATTGTTACATCTTTAGGGAGGCTGTTCTAGGTCTGCAGCATATAAACTACGCTTATTTCCTAAACCCAACAACAGTTAATCAGAGACAGTCGGCAGAACACTGAGTTTTGTTTGGCAACATTAGGTGAAAGTGTTGGAGTCTGGAATGAGACATGGTGATGCAAATACAATCAATTTAATTAAAATCAGCTTTCAGCTTGTGGGGAACCATTCGAGATCAGCTGCCTTGTTATGAACCAGCTGTGATTTTTGTATTGACATTTTTACAGACTTAAGGACTTAGATTGATAACAAATAATTGTCCCAATATTTAGAAGTCTGATTTTTTTTAAATGTTGGAATGGTTTATAGTTTGATATTAAGGGTTTTAGTAAAGAAACAGATAATTCAAATTCAAAAATACTTTATTAATCCCAAAGGGAAATTAATTGTTGATGTAGCTCATCCTGGTTTCATTAGAGTTGTTTTAGATTCTGATGACTTTGGGCAGGAAGGATCTCTTGTAGCAGTCTGTCTGCTAATTCGAAGAAACTAGCTGCAGATGTCGAACCGTCCACCCAGACCCAGCAGACCTTAGAATCAGAATCAGAATAAGCTTTATTATCATTGCCCCGAGATACAACAAGAACATGTACATGCAGTCGTCCGGAAGATGGACGGAGTGCACAAAGCTGCTACTGCTCTGAGCGCGGCCTCTCTTATCCTTATCAGAATAATAATCTTAGATAGGAAAAGGGGGAGAAACATGAGGGTAGTGGTTTTCCCTAAAAATATCTTTCACATCTTGTCTATCAGGACACGATTTGAAACATAAAAAAACTCTACCAGCAAGCACAATTAAAACATGATTACATTTGCATTTGACGTTGAGGTGTTGAGGCGTTGCGATAGATGAAGCTTTTGTCCTTGGTTACCCATGACCCAGGAGAAATTTGATAGTCGGCCCATTCCGAGGCCGTCGGGAGTCAGATTCAGATAAGATTGATTGTTGTTTTTCTTCAGCTTTGAGTCCATCTGGGCATTCTGGTTCCAAAATAGCCTAAGTGTGGGATTCCATTCCACTGATCTATGCTATGAGTCTCCCTCAAGGTCAAACCCACCACGCTGACGAGTCCCAGAAGCCGCAGGTGGCCTGCGATTCTCATAAATCGCCTCCACCTTACGGTTTAGCTTGTAAACCAGATGATTTAAAGTTCCTACAGCACAGACCAAACCTTCACACTGACTCTGAAGCTTTGCCATGGCCGAAACTGCTGCTGATGTCTCCTTCAAAAGTTGATAAAACAGAGCCCCGCCAATGCCAAAAAGCAGAGACCCTGCTATCATAATTCCAAATATGTAAACGTCTTCAACATCCTCCTGAGACAGGACTGAGAGGCACATCAGCTGCCACACCCCACGATCCATGATGTACCTCACAGCGTGCTTCTCAGCTGGACATGCCGGTTCTCCAGGACCTTGTTGCTTTGATGAAAAAAATCTTATCAATAGAGTTGAACGTCCAAGATACCAAATCCATAATCTTATTAATTGACGTTCGGGAGATGTGAAGCAGGCACTTCAGACACGCAGAGCAGGAGGAAGGAAAAATGGGAGGAAAGACAGAAGCAGCCACCTCGATCAGAGCCAGGGAGGAGGAAAAATAAATAATAAAATAAAAACAAGCGGCAGCACTGACTGAATTCCTCTCCCAGCTATGGCCATTTCTCCCAGCAGCCTGCCGCATCCCTTGTTGCCGCAGACTTAACTGCAGGTGTTGAGGGACAATCTTGGTCCTCCCGCTGTCACAAGCTGCGTTTCCCACTACCGCCAAAGTCAGACACTCGAGCACCGCCTCCAGGTGCATCCACAGCACCTCCTTTTCAACTCATTTGAGATTTGCTGCTGTAGCTGAAGTCTTATATGAGCTTTTTAGATGTTAATCAGCAGCTCCCAGTTGTAGAAAACCACCTTGTTGTTGTGGTTACGTATCCTAACAAATGTCCATAAGTAAAAAATGGTTACTTAAAAATCCCAGCGGCACATCATCTGATACCAGAGGAAGTAACCATCCAAAAAAAGCAATTTACATCCAGAAAAAAACAGGAATTAAAGTTTTCAGAAGCAAAATCTCAGAATGAATGTAAGAGAGCAACTCCAACAACATGCAGCCACCTTGAGCGGCACAATTCTAGAATGATGTTCTGAAAATTCTCAAATGTTCATAGCAAGAAAAGTAAAAAAAATAAATATATTAAATAAACTTTTCAAGCTCTGAACAAATCTGGAGAACTCAAGAGCACATAAGTGTGAGTCTTGGATCAAAAATATCAATACTTCTGCACATTATGTATATTTACTGATCAGCCACAACATTTTACATCCTGCCTAATATTCAGTGGGTTACTCTTTATTCATTCCAACACTTCGGACCAATCTGGACTTGGAGACGTAACATTTCTATCGACGTAGAGTTTCTGGCACCTGAACTTTAAGCCCTGAGGCTTTTAGGCTCATGTGTCTGAAATGGGCTTGTTTCCTATAGATGACATCGAACCCTATGGGACTGGTTCATGGAGACTGTGCAGTCCGAGTAAAGACCTCACACTCAGAACTCTGCCGAGTCCTGCTCCTGTAAACATACAGTAAAACCTAAAATTAGCCATATGTAGCAAACAATGTGCTGCTAAATGAGAGCGTTTAAACATCTTATTACTGTCATGTTCTATTACCAGATGTGCGACCGAGATTGAAACATGATTTTGATACAGCTGTGCATTTTTAAATCACAAAGTCCGTGTTTTTATTGCGTATTTGAGTTACAGTAAACAAATGACTTATTCACACGTTGAACCTTTTCTTTAACGACAGCTGACCACACCATCCACTCCCTGTCTTTCTTCTCAGGCTGGTGGCAGCAGAAGAAACAACAGAGCGTGCGGGTGTTTCGTGGTTAGTAACTGTGGTGAGTGCAGTGTGTGTGTGTTTGAGGAGGCACAGAGGGTGGGGCGCACAGCACACACAACTTGAGTCTAGTTGCCCCTTTTAGATAATAACAATAACAGGAGGAGGGATGTTTTTTTTTTTCTTGTGGTGAGGAGAAGGGATGGAGGGTTCAAAAGAGGAAGAGTGGCAGAGAGGAAAGTAAAACTCAAAGTTAAAAGGAAACAGGAGAATGAATGACGAGACCAACAATAAAGGGGAAAAAATGGATTGTGGTGGAGAAGAAAGGCAGACAGAGGAGTTGGGAGGATGAGCAATCTGAGCTGTCCTCTCCATCAGAGGAAACCCTGCTGGCATCCTGACAGATCAGCTTCCTGTGTGTGCGGTGCACATCTGGGCGTGGTTCCTCCAGCAGCAGCAGCGAGACAAACACATAGTCAGACTGTCTTTAGTGGCCTCCTCCCAGAGACGGGTTCAGGCCCACTTCCACTTCGATCGTGAGCATTTAGCAGCCTCTGGTTTTCTGTCTTATCAAAACCAGCTGAGACTTTCCTCCCTCTTATGTACTTCAAAGAAGCCAACTACTGGTGTTACTCAGTTTAATCGAGAGGAGATTTGATTGAAACATGGTTTGTATCCAGTTCTGGCCGCAGAGACCTGGATCTAAATGGATCCACGAAGACCACAAAACCACTTTGTTTTGTATGTCAACGAGCTGCAGAGTTTCACTTCAGATTTCATTTTGACCTGCAGCGATACATTCATACTTTTAATATAAATGCACTTCATTGACTTAGAACTATGCAAAAGAGTCATCCCTCGTTTATTTTTCTATCTAGACTTTTACGTGATCTTTTAAAGTGTTGATATATATTTCTTCAGACTTTCTGCAGATGCTGTGATTTTAACAGCTTCTGGGTGTGTTCTGGTGCTCCCAGGATGTATGAGTGTTTGTTCCTCTTAGATTTCATGTTTTTATCCAGTTGATGTTTTAACTTGCTCATTTTAGTTCATGCTTTTTTTTTTTTGCTGCTTGTTTTATGCACAAACCGGAATCCCGAGGACAGAAATGGCTCTGTTTTTTTGTTGTTGTCGATTTGACATAGGCACGCAGCAGAAACACACTGAGCCAAATTGAACGAATATAACCCTTGTGTATTTACAAAGGTCTATAAATACAAACTGCTTTCTTTAGCTGGGGCCCAAA